GAGCTCACATTCTTAAGAAAACTTATTTCGCACAATGCTCACCAGGAACAATTGCTTGTGCAATTGAAATTTTGCTGAGAAGAAAAGCGAATTTTAGCATGCCCAATATCAAGTTCAGAAATAATTCCAATACTATAAGTACCATTCATAAAGAGATTATATGCCATGTGTTCACCCAATCTCGTTTAAAGTGATAAAGGACTGGTAGAGGAAGAGTTTTCCCACAATGATATGAGTTGAGCTGACGTTTCCAATGAATTTCACATAGCTTTACTTTCCCAAAAGTTGTTCGACTCCCGCTAAGGGTGTTGATAAGACCGATGCGAGCTCGAAACTGCAGTCTACTGGTGCCTGGATGAGATCAACTTTTGGGAAAGCAAGCCTATGTGAAATTCAAGGGAAACGTCAGCTCAACTCATATGATTGTGGACAAATTCTTCTTCTACCAGTCCTTCATTACCTTAACCGAAATTGGGTGAATACATCTCATACTACTTATTTACTGATAGTCACGAAAACAATACTTAATTCGAAAAATAGATTATATGCCGTCGAGAGTTGAGTGTCTGGAGAAGTTGAGGCATGTCAGCAAAAGAGGTAAAAGAGGGAAAATGCAGGTTCATGCCGGCGACGATAGGACGCGAGTATCCGGAACGCTTGCAGCCTCGGGCTCGAGACCCGTCGAAACTGCCGCTCGGGCCGAAACAGGGTTGCTGGAATACGAGACGTCTCTTGCCTCTTCACATCCATTCGTTCTTTTCGTTTCATATTCACACAATCGTCGCGTACGAGAGCAAGTGGTCAAAAGGAAGATCTTCATTTTGAGGATGCCATACAGGCTTTGTCATTCTCATACTTTGGGCGCGAGTGAAACTGCGAGCTTGGCCCACCTTTGCCCCGGAGAGTGCATTAAGTCGTGTCAAGACTCGACTTTTGTGTTGCTGAGGCTCGACTTGAATCTTCCAAATGGACCAGTTTGTCCTTCCATCACGACTGCGGTGTCATCCGCCACATGAGCACGAGAGAGGCGTTCGAGACCGGTCTCCACTATGCCTTCTTCCTCAATCCCTGTGGATACGTTTGTATAGGGCTCCACTGAACCTCTTCTGGCGAATGTCCTTGCTGCTGTTTGCCTCTGTAGGTGCTTAGACGGCTGTGTGTGTGTGTGTATGTGTGTGTGTGTGCTATCTCAAGTCTTCTTGAGGATCGCCATTTCTTAGGCCAAC